ATTAGGTATGGTAAATATTTTATAGATATTTGAAATACGGGAGAATGAATTTAGGATGTATAGGAAACCCTGTAGAAATTTTGCTGTTTCTTTATAAATAAAAATTAATCCCCAAATTAACTTTTAATTTTAATTAATTGATCAATTTGGTTTTTTGAGACAAGCTCTCCTTGTAGCTCCAGGTAATCTGGAACTTGCTATGTAGATGAAGCTAGACTAGATCTCACAGAGATCAGCCTGTCTCTCTCAAGTACTGGGATTAAAGGCATATGTCAGCAAGCCCAGCAAGATTTAATTTTTAAGATGGTCAAATCTATACATTCTCATCAACTTAATTACATTGCTTAAACTTCTGCCAACATTAAAAATGTCAATAAATGCTTTCCAAAATGATGAAATTTTTCACTATGCCTAAACTTGGATAGAAACAACCAAATTCGGTAATCCTTCCTTGATACCCCCCTCTCTCTATATATATATGTAATATATTACATATATATGTATATATTACATATATATATGTATTACATGGGCATGTGAACAACCTCAACGCAGGTGTAACTCCTCAGGTGCTGTCTAGATTTGTGTTTTTCTCTGTTCCTTGGTTGTTTGGGACAGGGTTTTTACTGACTGGAAACTTTCCACGTAGGCTTGGCTAGTTGGCCAGGTAGCCCCAGGAGTACACCTGTCTCCCTTCCTCTAGACCTGTGAATAAAGTTCTGAGTAGATTAACATACCTAAGCTTTTTACCTGTGTTCTTGGCATAGAATTAGGATCTTGTGCATTTATGGCCAGTCCTTTACCACCTGAGGTGTCTCCTCATCCCTCTCCTTGACTTTTTTACTTCATTCTCTATTGATCAAGCATTAGGACCCTCATATTAACAAGCCTCTTCTTATAATGATATTTCTCTATTAGTAGATGTCTGACAGCAAAGTGTCAGAAAACCACCACAAAGCAAAGCCAACAAAAGAGCTGGGTTTCTGTGCTACGTATATTGAAAAACAACTGAATTAAGATTTGCATTTGCTGTACACTTATAGATTTCAAAAAAAAGCTTTAAATACTATTCAAATGTTTGGTCCATTTTAAGCAAGTGCCATTAATGATATGATTTTAGAAAGAAAAGTACAATATCATAGGCCCAGGAGAGATAAAAATTCAGGTTTTGAAAGAATGCACGAATATAGCAATGTTTCTTTGAGCACATAAAACGTACAACTACTGGGATAGCCTGTATAATTATAAGCTATTTAAGGAAACCAAATTTCTTTAGGAAGAAATATTTGAAAAAAAAGTGAAGTTTTATGTAGACAGTGATTGTAATGTTTGTGATAGATGTGTAATGGGTGTGATAGATGTGTAACGGGTGTGATAGATGTGTAGGAGAGGAAAAGGAAAGAAACAGAATTTTGATTTGTATAGAAAAGAAACTCATGATTTGTTTGATGTCTTTTTTCCCCCGAGACACAGTATCATGACTTGATGATGGCATCTGTCTTTCAAGGGTGCTAGAATTAAATACACGTGTCACCATGGCTGGCTAGAAAGGTGTTTAATGGGAAACTTTAAAAACACAATCAAGTTATTCTTATAAAAGGCAATAACCATTTTTGGATACCACATACTGGAGAGACTGGGATGCAGGGTTTTGGTGAAAGAATAAATGGAAATGAGGGAGAGAATGTCCCTGTGCAAAACAGCGAGAAAATGCCAGGAACTCCCTGAGGAGAAATGCACTGTGTGCACAGTTCGGTCATTTTCTTGATGCCTCCTCAGTGTGCTGCCCTCTGTTTTACAAAAGTACTTTATCTCAGCCTCACTCAGCCATGCTCTGCTATAGACACTTTGGGCATTAAAGGAAGGCAGGTGGGATCCAATGTGCGCTAAACATCTTATAAACAGAGTGCACATTGAGAGAGGCAAGTGTATGTATGAATAGCCATCAGTTCAGCAGGAAGCCATCAGCAAGCCTACGAGGAACCCAGGAAAACAAAGACACATCAGAATTCTTATTATTTGGGGACAATAGATGGACTTAAGGACCAGGCATTACTGTGGATTTTCACTGAAAGAGTGACATAGTACCTCTGGAGAACTGTAATGTGCACAAAGCAGGAACACAAATTGCATGTCTGAAAGAACTCCGAGTTTAAGAGCGTGTGGTGGTGCAACTATGAACTTGGTCGTCTTACAATTCTCCATCCACATACAGGGCTTACCTTCCTCTTGGCAAGTCTGCATCATCCTTTTTCCACCTCACAGTTGGCTGAGGATCTCCCTGGACCTGACAACGGAATTCTACAGCTTCTTCTTCCAGCACCACCTGGTTAATCGGCCTCCTGAGAAATGTGGGTCGTTCTTGGGGAAAAAAAGAAAAACAGGACACAAAATAGTAAAATGAAATTAAATGTGTATGCTTTGTATAAATAATGAAAAACAAAATCAAAGCAACATTCATTTTTGGTACACAGAGACCTAACTCTGTCTCAAATAAGTCTGATAAGGTCTGATGAACCTAATACAATTAAGTAAAATGAAATTTTAAACATAAAAATAACTATTGTTTTTATATAAGTCCATATAATCTATGGAAATGAAATTGATTAAAAAATAATAAAGAAATAAATACCTGGTATTTCATCAATAATGCTTGAGGAAAACATTGTTATCAAACATGTTCTCTAACATTTCCACTTCCTCTATTATTTCATGAACACTCAAAATATCCTCAATATTTTCACTCCATATATTGAAAAATGTCTAACATTACTTTTTTAATGTAAATGCTGTTATTTTTATTTTTCAGAAATTATTTACTACTGTACAGAGTTGTTAATGTCTTCTCCAACCATCTCAATTATCATAGGGTTTGAGTTACTCATTTTTAGTTTATTTTACCATTAATGTTGTTTTTTGTTTCTTCAATATTGTTTTAGTGGGTTTGTCCTTTTAATTTATACTTTAAATTACAGTTTAGCACTCTTCTACATAAAGCAAGAGGAAAACATATTCCTGGTCATAGGATACTTAACATGAATGAGAAATATGAACAAAAGTGGGTTTATGTCCCCCAAACAATTATAACCCTTGTGCAGTATCTGCCTTTTGAATAATGGTCTGATACTAAAAATGTACCACTTGAATTTTATTAGCCCATGTCTCTGATTCTGTAAGTCCTATATTGCTATTTATTAGACTAGAAAAAGGACTAAGTCAAGGAAAAGAAAGATGAGCTCCACAGGGAGTTGACACAGTTTATCTGGCCATCTGGCTACATTTAGCCACTTAGGACTTCAGCTTCAAATCTTCTAATATGGAATTATGAATGTTATGTTACAAAAATGGAAACATGTTTGGCAGGAAACCCCTGATGAAATAAGTCATTTGAAATAACACAATAAGAATACAGAATGAGAGTTTATATTTTTATTGACTAAGTAGAGATCCATATTTTTTAAACAAATGTGTACTGTAAGGAAAATATTTTATTGAAAAGTCATTTACTGCTGGCATTCAGAGGAGTGAGAATGCTATCTCACCCCAGAGAATTGAAGTCTGTGTCAAATTTTTCTTCAAAATATGAAGCTGCATACATTCCAGTTTCTATATTCTGAGGGTCCAAAATTCCAAGCCATAAAACAGGGCATATAGGATTTTATTATTGAAAGCCTTTTTAATTTATTTATTATTTTTATTTTATTTTATGAGTATATTGTCTGCATGTGTGTAAGTACACCGTGTTGTGAAAAATACATGGAGGTCAGAAGGGGGGATCAAGTCCCTTGGAAGTGGAGTTATGGATGGTGGGTGCTGAGACTCAAACTTGGGTCCTCTGAAAGAGCTGACAGTACTCTTAATGGCTGAGCCATCTCTCCAATTTCCATCGAAACTTCTTGATGCAGAATTTGCAAACAACCCAGACTAGAAAATGTCACTGTTAGTTCTAAAGATTTTAGGTGGACAGAATTAATTTGCAATAAAATCTGCTGCCTAAAGCACATAACAAATGTATACACTTGTTGGATTGATTCAATACTTTCCTTTTCCATTTTCATACGTGTGTATGGTGTGTGCATATGTGAGTGCCCATGTGTGAGTATGGAGGAGCATGTGCACGATGCATAGCATGTGGAGTCCTGAGGTTGACAGTAGAAATTATCCTCCACAACTCTATCACATTATTAATTGAAGAAGGGTCTCTTAACCAAACCCAGAACCCTGCTAATCTTGCTCTTGACTCTGTCTTTGAGGCTAGAATTACAGGAGGCTGTCAATACTGACTGATATTTATGGGGATCTGTGATCTGAATGCTTTCACCACCAAGAAATCTCCTCAGGCCCAATATTTTCCTTTTGAACTCTGGATACCATGTTCTCCAAACAGTTATTTTATGCCTAGTGATACTGAACTATTATTTCTGGCAGTAACTAGGCAATAGGGTTAGTGTACATTTATAGATGTTCCAATTGTTAATAGTGCATTGGATGGGAAGTGGGATGGACATTTCCTATGCTATTTGATGCTTACATCCAGAGCCTGTACTGACCCGGGGTGGAAGGAGAGGAGACCACTACCCAAATCACTTGAGAATAAAAAGTGAGATTTTTGAAAGGAGACCCTCTCTGCCCCTCTGGCATGTAGAGGGAACACACTATAGCAGTATTTTCTCATTCATTTATTCATCGGACATGCAAATGCAGCCTCTACTACCCCAGGCTCCAAGACTTGGGGACAGTAAATGACCAACAGCTTAGTTTCATAGGGAAATGGGTGGGAGAGGAAGTCAGCCACAGAGTGAGGGGCATAGCCATGAAGGCAAGTGTGGCAGTTCAAGGAAGATGAAAGCATGACTGACAGATAACTGCTGAAAGATATCAAGATTCAGGTGAACCATTTAAAAGTGCATGAGAAGGGTCATTTTGACAAATCTGTGAACAATACAACAGAAGGGAAATATGAAAGGCTGAAGTAGGTCAAAAAGTTATTGTTCAAAATCATTCCAGTTTATACTGACAATAATTCTGAGGTTATGGAAAAGGAGGAGGGCATACAATATTTAAAATGAACTCTTTTTTAAATATTTATTATTTTTATTTTATGTGTATGCATGTGTTGCCTGCATGTAGGTAAGTGCACCTGTGTCATACAATGCCTGCAGAGGGCAGAAGAGGCTGTCAGATCCCCTGGAGCTGGAGTTATGGACAGTTGTTAGCTGCCACATTGGTGCTGGGATTTGAACCCAGGTCTTCTGCAAGAGCAGTCAGTGTTCTTAACCACAGAGCCATCTCTCCAGCCTCCCAAAATGAACTCTTGATCAGATGAGCAGGATGAAAGAGAAAGTGTAGCACTCTAAACTTTTAACATATTTGATCATATTGTTCGATAAAATGCAGATATATATTGTGTTTATTGGTAGTTATGAGAAAAATTATCCTCATATGCCTAAGCCATTGTAAGTTATGCTTATGTTACTTGAAAGCAATTTAATTGTGGAAACAAAAGAGAAAATAATTTCTCTTTTGAGATTATTTGTAGCTGTAATATTTAAATTAAAAAATACCTAAGCAAACAATCAAAAGAAATTGATTATGCATGATAATGATTCCTGCCAAAAGTAAATGCCAATATTGTTTTTTAAATGAAAAATGTGGGCTGGAGAGAGGGCTCAGTTAAGAGCACTGGCTACTCTTCCAGAACACCTGGGTTTGATTCCCAACACCCACATGGCAGCCAACAACTATCCTTAGGGATGGTTCCAAGTGATCTGATGCCCTCTTCTGGCCTCTCTGGACATTGCATGAAATGGGTGCACTTAAATGCATGCAGGCAAAACATACATAAAATAACAATTAATTAATTAAATTTATTAATTACTTAAAAAATAACGGTATCAAAATAAAAGTAAAATGCTTAAGTCATGTTCACTGAAGTCAGGTAGAATTTCTAAAGCGGAACACTGAAGAAGAGTCAAGACAACCAGAATTTCCAATTCTGAATAATAACCTTTGATGATTGCAAAAATCTAAGAAAAGCATAAGACATCAACAATGCAAGAACTACTGAAAACTGAAGGACTGTTGCGTACATAATCGAGCAGTCATACACTGACTACCTGTTGTCATTGGAATCAGTTACAAGTTTATAGAATACATTACACATTATCACATATGGCATGTTTTCATGATGTTAAAATGAGTGTAAATTGTAAAGCCATATGTGAGACTAGTTCCATTCAAGTTCATATATTATATACTATCTTTAGGTAAAGATTTTGAGTGTTCCTTCTAACATGCACCAATCATAATCTTGTAACATATAATTAATATAAAGACAAACTTTATATTAGTCATATCACAAAAAAACAATTATCTCCTCCTCTGTTGGTTCCTTAAATACCTTTTCAGTTACCACCTATGTTCTCAACTCCATTGTTTAATATGAGGCTATGAGGAACCACCTGATTCATAATTTCAAGAAGAAATAAGATGCAGGATCCCCTACTGCTGTTCCGATGAACTCAGCCAGAATGGAAACTTTACAAGGATCTTTCTTTGTCCTTCTGCCCTCAAGCAGAGTCCACTTCTATGCAACTGGATCATCACAGGAAAGGAAATGGTATGTAAGGTTGAGAAGTCCGATATTAGACCCAGATACAATGTATCAATTGGTAAGAAAAATGGAGGCCAAGAATAATCAAGGTGAATGTCATTTGCGTATATACAACACGTAAAGAGGGTTTTGTATTGCAGTATCCTAGGCTATACCTTCCACCAAGTAATGTAGGTATTGATTGACATATTGAAGTTTGTTCACAATTTTTAAATTATTATTCTGAGATTTCCATAGCTGCCATTGCAATAAACATGTCTAAATTATATTATTCCTCATTCTAATTAAATCATAAAAATTATACCACACCCTCTTTCTGCTTTGCAATACATGTAACTGGCTATGGAAAAGTAACAAACAAACTTCAGGTTTGATAAACATACTTTAATTTTAATAAAAAATTTTTGTAAGAAGCATTTTCCACTTCTATTAACCAGAAAATATAAGACTCAGAAATATGAATATTAAGGACTAGAAAATTGTAAAAATGTATTTTAAATGCTTTATATTTGCTGTGGCTACTGCTATCAAAGTAAACCTCTTTATAAACAAAAAAATTTCAAAGTTCAGATGCAAGTGTTCTCTCTCTCTCTCTCTCTCTTTCTCTCTCCTAAAATCACCTGCAAAGAAATGAACAGTCAGGAGGATAAGAAAGTAAGTTAGAACAAGAGAGTGAATGATGAGAATCCCATTTGATAACTACTAATGTCCACAGAGATTGTGCCCATGAAATTCTGCACTACTAAAA